TGTCACTGTCAAAAGAATTTTCCTAAAAGTGACGAGGGAGGGGTGATAAACTAATGATTTTTTTTTCGAAAATATTATTTGTTATATTTAAATTACTTACATTGTGTATTTTATTATGTTTAAAGTTTCAATAAAAAAAAAACACATTATTTTACAGACGTACAAAAATAATACGTTCTAATATTTTTGGCGTAAACTACTAAATTGGCCATACGGTATTTAGTCTAGGGACTTTCGTACTAAATGATTTATCAAATCTAATTGTTCCTACTTCTTTTTAGTTAATCAATAGGCCTATAAAATTATTAAAAATAATTTAAAAAAATAAAATTAAAATCATTTACACCGTCGCGCCGTTGTCAAGTAGTCTCCTGTTTTATAAAATGTTACGTGGTTCACGCACGAACAAGTTACAAGGCATAGGGCCTACTAAACTGTACTGACAAAACATAGACATGCTAATATCATTTTTTAAATACTAAACACAAAACCATGGTCCAACAACTATACGTTTATGTTTAGACCTATTCACTGACACAGTAACGTACTCCCTTTTCAAAATAATAATAATAAAAATAGCTTATCAATAACGCAAAAACAGTTTACAAGGAAATATAATAGGAGCCTACTATACTACTGTACTAACAAAATATAGACATCTAAGTAAAAGGCCTATTATTAGTACAGTAATATCATTTTTTAACATACTAAACATAAACCATGACTCAACAACTACAGTAAAAGTTATGTCTCGACCTTTTCACTGACACAGTACCTTATTCCCTTTTCCAAAACACTTATAAATAACATTACAGTATTTTTGTTAATCTTATTTTAACTCTTAATAATTGTGAAAAAAATGACCAAAAATTTATCGTAAATAAAATCAATATAATATATTTAAATGAATGTATGTATTATAACATACATTTTTAACTATTTATAATTTAGTATTTCTTAAATGATATTGGAATATCATCGTACCATTGAAATTATGAAACGCGTAAAAAATAATGTTGGTAGTTGTATGAACTGTATCGTAATTCAGTGTAATGTTTGTTTTCGTAGGTCGGCGGGACGCCATTAGAGGACGCTGTGATATACGGCCCACCAGATGATTTATTAGAGAATATGATTAAAACGGCAACAGTTGAGTGTTTAGAACACCAGACGGTGAGTAGAATTAAATATCATTGCATTTTAAACATGACAAGCACACAACATGTGTACACATCATAAAACATACAAATAACTCAAAGTGATTTATTTCATGTTGGGTTGAAAATGAGATTTTTATTTCATGATTTATTTGACATATTTTACAACACAGAAAAAGCCTATGTTATGGCCATTATCACATTTCATATGAAACATTGTGAAAAAATACATATTACACTTACAAAAATGGTGATGTTTGGATTTTTTCTGCTTAATACAGTTTACGGAATAAATTAGTGACAATAAAATTGATATTTTTCACAAAAAGTATTTTCGCTAAAAATCCCAATTTGGAAATATTTTACTATTGTGTGTAAAACATAGGCCAATTGATACAAATATTTTTTGCGCGATTTCGCCTAAAAAACCACGTTATAAAAATATTAAATAATGTAATTAGTATTTAATGATGATAAATGAAATAAGTAATGTATGTGTGATGTTTGTGAGTTGTTATGTGTTGTTGATATTTGGTGTGTGTATAGTTTCTTGTTGTTTATTATTTCTTTCTCATCATATTCTACGTTTGTCTTGTAGTCTCGTGGTGCCACTATTCTCCATCTCTTGGCGTCCCGCGCACGCGTGTCAGCAATGAGACGCGTGTTGGAAAAAACCAACAAGAAGATTAACACGCAAGACATCGTGAGTACAGTAGAAGAAAACAACACTTTATTCATTGCTAACAAATTAACATTAATTCACTCACAAACACATTCAATACATCACGTTCTAATTTTGTAAAAGTAATCTAATATTATTGTATTAATAATAATTTAGGGCCTATTATATTTACAACTGGGTTGAGATAGTTTTTTTTATCGTTGTATAATTCTAACTACTGTAGTAAGTACGGTACTGCCCGTCATGTATTATAATATAAAAAGCTATATTTCAATAATATCCTTTTTAACACCATTATCATTACAGTATTGTATTATTACTATTGTTAGTGCCATTATCATCATCATCACAATTACCATCATCGGCATCATTTTCGTTATAAATATTATTAGCTGGAGTAATATTATCATTCCATTATATGTTAGTATTTATTTAAATTTTATTTGTCCTCATGATCATCATCATCGTAATATTATAATCAATATCATAATGATAAATTTTAATAGGCCTATTATTATCATTATTACATATTACATTGGCGTTAATGAATTATACCAGTTATAAACTTTTACGTTTGCGTAATATTTGTTAATTGATATTCTTGTGTTGTGCGTGTTCAACAAACTTGACGTTGATTATCATTTCATTGCAGTGGGGACGCACACCACTACATGAATGTCTACATTGGTGTCTAAAGAATGAGTGGCTGACGCACGAGCAACACAAGGAAGTCGCAATTCTCAATATCACCTTTGGCGCATCGGTGACAATAAAAGATAAGGTAATGTACAGAAAAATGAAATGCATCAAAAGAATATCAGTCAATGACCTTAATACAACAACTGTATATGAAACTACTAAAAACGTTTTTACTAATAAAAACAAACGTAATAAATATAAATTCATATAAGTATTAAATCGATTAATATCATAATAAATAATGATGATTCTTTTTGAAGTATGATTTCAATGAATATTTTTATTTCCGATGTGATGTGCTAATAATTTACAACAATAGTTATAAAGTTGTAATGCTAATAGTGTTGATATTTAAATTATTATTTACCATTTTATTATTATATCATTGGTTATTAAACCAAATATACCACTGTTTTCTGTTGATTTAATTTGCAACCGTCGTGCAATGAAACGAATCATCGCGTGCTCGTGTCTGTTATTGCAGTTTGGTGGAAAGACGCCTCTTGATGAGTATGATGATAACGAATGTAGAGGATACGAAGAAACCACAAGAAGAGAGAAAAAGACAAAATTAAAAAATTTACTTGAAGGTATGATAACACTTATCTTACACATTCTTTTTCTATTATTTTATAATAATTCGACATAATAAGGAGCCATTTAATGAATATATAAGAATATATTATTTCCGTTTTGTTATTATTTTTGTAAAAAAAAAAACGTTATCGCAATTAATGAAAATACATGTAATTTAGAAAGTGAATTAAATTATTAAAGTATTTGATTTTTTTTCTTTGCTTTTTTCTTTTTTGAATGAAATAGAACTATCAATTCCGTCAGAGATTTTAGCCAGGGGTCCCGATGCCGTCAAAGCATTCAAAGATGCACTTAAAAACGGTGAAATAACAGTTGTTAATTCAAGACTGATGTTCCTAGGTAACGAGGGTTCCGGGAAAACCTCTTGTGTCAAAGCCATGCTTGGGAAAGAGTAAGTACAATCGGATGTATTCGATTTTGTACTTTATATCGATTTACTTTGCTTGCTTTTTTTCAGTTGGTTTTTACATTACAGTTGTACGTTCGTTTTCTACTCAACTTTTAACATGCACGCGCTAGTGTGCGCGTGTAAGTTTACTTGTAACTTTCTGAAGTAAAGTTGTTGCTAGGTGACGGGGTCGAGTGGCGGATGACACGGCCTTTATATGTAATTGGGATTTAATAGCAACTACGAAATTTATTGTTATTTATAGCATTTCGAAAATTAATAAACTACAGGTAGGCCTATATTAGTGAAATGTTTGTAATTTATTTATCATATGTAAACTGTAATATATATATTCTAAATCCGTTTTGATTGTTGTAATTATTCGTTAATTGATATTACACACGATAGTAAATCAATCACTGTAATAATAATTATTATTATAAATATTATTATTATTGTTGTTGTTGTTGTTGTTGTTGTTGTCGTCGTCGTCGCCGTCAATATTTCGACATTAATTTTGTCATCAGGAATATTATTATTTACCATTGTTTTCGTTATTATTTATTTATGTTATTATTGTTATCATTGATGTTGATGCTGATAATGAAAGTATTATACATTTCTATAATGACGATGTCAAACTTCAATTA